CAGTTAGTTTTGTCTGGTTAAGGCTTGATAGTCTTTGAGCATACGAAAGGTGTTTAAGGGAGGCAGTATGTTTTGTGGCTCGGTGTTGAACTTGCTCAAGTTTGGCAACGTCTTGAGCTAAAAATGTTTATGTTATAAAAATGCTAAAAAAACAAACATGTTTATTAGCCGATCCCATATTTTTTTTCGACAATCAATTTTTACGCGGAGTGGCTAATGAGTGGCGAAGAGGTCATATTTATATAAAAAAAAATTATATTTTTTATTTTTTCTTGATAGAAGTATTCGCGCCGATTGTTCGCTTTTTAAGGTTTTGGACTAAAATTTAGGACAATTTTTAAGCATAGGCGCTTAAAAAATAGATTCTGATGTCAAATTCAGCTAATTTGTTCAATAATGTTTTCTTTATGTGTTACTGTACCAAAAAAAACATTATGCGTATTAATTCAAGAAATAAGTTGTGCCGATCTTACACTGATAACGGTTGATAAATTAACACTTTGGCAACTGTAAAGTGTTTTTATGTTGATCTTTAGGATTTTTTCCAGTCATTCAACAAAAATTTATGATTTTTTCCTCAATTTTTTATTGAATAATATATGTCAAATAATGATCTTTGCAATTTATTGCGATGATTGGAGGCTGGAAACTATAAAAGCTCCTAAATTTTCATCCCCCCTGCCCCAAACGTGAGAGCAACAAGTTGGTAAAATAATTTTTATAAAATTCTTAACTTTGTTTATATTCATTGATAAATTCCAAGTTTTATAGTAATATCTCTTAGAGTTCATAAATTAAAACCATACAAAGTTTAAATCCCCCTCAGTTTAAGGGGGTAAGAAATTTTATATAGTCATAATTTTTGAACGCTTAGAGAATGTAAAACAATACTTAAAATTTATCAATGAATATAAATTTAGTTAAGAATAGTAAAAAGATTATTTCATCAACTTGCTGCTTTCACGTTTGGGGCACGGGGGATAAAATGTTAGGGCTTTTTTTGTTCCCAGCCTCTAATCATTGCAACTTTTTGAAAAGCATCATTAATTAACATAAGTATAGGCATACAAATGTTTGGATTTTGCTCCAAGTTAGCTATCTTAAACATCAAAAAATGCTGCCACAGATCTCTTGTTTCTAAAGCAAATTTGCTTCAGAATTCAGCGTTTAAATGCTGCAAATGTGCAATAAATATTTATATACATATAAATTTTCAGTTGAAGACAAATATCTCAAGAAAATATGAGTTAGCTAACTCCTTGAATCCACTCATCTTCTTTTTTTAATGGTTTTTTTAAAACTACTCTTTATTTAAATTCTGATGCTTCTCCAAGCTCATTACACGCTCTTCATTATCTTGAATAAGTTTTACTGTTAGCAAATTTTTATTACGAAATATTTTTCTTAAAACAAGAAACACTTTTCTAAACTATTAGTATTAAGAAATAAAATATCCACCCTGCAATTTATTTTTAAAAACAAGAAATAAATTTCTTGTTTTGAGAAATTAATTTCTTAACCTATGCTTAATAGATTTACGATTTCGCTGTGAGTTTTGATGAGTTGTTAGCAACTTTGAAAGATTTTAAAAGTGTGAGGGAGTCACATCCGTAGAAATTTTTTAAACTATGACTTAGAATATCAAAAATTAACCACAAGTTTGGTAAAATATACAACTCAAGACCTAGTGGCTGCTCTTTGTCAACAAAAACTGCATTAAGAAGGATTTCAGCTTTGATTCTATCAGTTTTTATATCTTTCGGACCTGGCTTTGTTTTTGAATACAGAACTTTTTACCATTTTTATATTGATCTTGGTCAAAAGATGCTAACGTCAGCACCAAGCACCTATAAGATTTTGCCAAGATTTGAATTTCACCTCTGCAGTAGGCTTAATACACATCTGCCAATAGTCTTTTTGACCTTAATAGTGTAAGTTAAAAATAATAAAATGTTTATAAAATAAGGTTTAAAATGACATTACTTAATACTTATTACATTTTTTTTACAAGATAAAATTAAAGTGCTATTTCTATTGATTTCATTTTTTGTTATATTTCAACTGATTATAAGAAAAGTCTGTCATTAGAAAAAAAGTTGGTTTAGAGTTATTTTTGTATTTTAAATCTGATTTTAAATCATTGATTTTAAACAATTTATTACTTTGTGACAAATTATTCTTAATTAATAATACAAAAATATCAAAACTTATGAAATTAAGTTTTACTTTAAAAATTGTAGAATCAAAAAAAAAGCAGGCTATTCCCTGGAGTGAGAAATTTAGTCAGTATTCTATTGATCTCTCAAACCACGATTCCCTGGAGAGAGAAATTTAATCAGCCATTCTCTCTTTGATTATTTGATCTCTTTGAGTATTTTATTACTCAGAATAAAAACATGTCTAATTTTAGAGAAATGCAACTTGAATTTCATGAAAGTTAAAGCGTGTGAAACAGCTCCATTTTGTTTATTTCACTTAATGGTCTGATTTTTTTCTACATATTCACAGTAATCTCTGTTCTTCTCAAAAGTCTATATGTAAATAATTTTCCTAAAAGTCTATATGTAAATAATTTTCTCAAAAGTCTATATGTAAATAATTTTCAAATTAGAAACTTATTCCTTTTGTTTTTTCAAAAAGATGTTTTTAAGTGAGACGGTTTTATCTTTACCTTACTATTTTTTAACCTTTTTATGGTTTTATGATATAAATTGTTTATTCCCCAGTTTAACAGTTTTTACCCTGTTTACGACTATGAAGCTCTCTGACATGATAGCAGGAGGTTAACAAGAATAATGGTTGGCCAGGAAACTTAGCTAACCTTGTACAAACTCCGTTTAAACAGCCAGGGCTTGTTTAAACGGAGTGAACTAAAGTGGGTGAACTGCATTAAATAAAAAGCATCTAACAAGTTTTTTAATTTCATAACGAATTTTTGCGTTTTTAAAATACCACCAATTAACAAAAATAATAGTAAAAAAAATGCGCACACTCGTTTTAGATAAAAAACCTTCCATTACTTTTAATGACGTTATTATTTATTTAATGATTTGTAAACTTCTATTAGCGCCGATTGATTGAAAATGCCCGTAAAAACTCAAAAAATGTAAAAATGTTAAAACTTTAAAAAAGTAGCGCGAGTATAAATAGTCATCTAAAATAAAAAACAAAAAAATTTCAATAAAAAGATAACTTTGGGAATATTTTACGACACTCCGCGTATTAAAATTTGTTCATGAGGGTTCAAATGGTATGGGCAATCAATCTTTTTCATATTAGATGTTTAATGCATTTAACTAATTTTCTATCTCTGCTTGTTCAGATAATTAAGCATCAATGAATAGTTGAACAGCTTTTTTCACTTTTTTTAGGGTCACAATGTCATCGTTCGATTTATCTGTTTGTGATGCATGCTACCCCATGATGCATGCTACCCCATGAATAAAAGTTATTGATATTCCTGGGGTATCTTAGTTTGTAAAGAAAGATTTATTATTTATTATTATTTATTAACTAGATTTATTATTGTGTAAAAGTAAGGTAATTAAATGAATTTAAAAATTATTTAAATATTTAATAATTAACTCAAATTTATATTATTAATAATAATTATTAAATATACAATATTTAAAAACTAAGACTTAGTTTTTAAATATCAATAATTTATATTCTGGGTATTTACTTAGTCTGTATATAATAATTTAAACTTTTTTTAAATTCGGAAAATTTTTAGTTGAATAAAAAAGTTTTCATTAAATTGTGCTATAGAAAAATATTGACAGAAATTTTAAGCAAAAGTTATTTGAAATAAATACTAATTTTTTTTTAATACTTTATCTTGAACTAAAATTTTCCAGATTTAAAAAAGTTTGATTTAAAGTTTATTAACAAAAATACACTTTCTACCTTACCAAACGTATGATATAATATCAATATTTAAAATTTTTAAGCATCAATTAATAACATAACACTGACAATAATATATTTTATAAATCCATAACGGTTTCTGAGTCATCTTTTTGATCAAAAAAACCAACTAAAAAAACTCTTAGATAGCCTTCATCCATGATAAATCATATGATCTGAAAATTCCCGCATGGATTCCTAATATATAAATTAACAACTCTAGTTGTGGTAACATATATCTTCTTTTAAGTGATAGATTTTAATGGTTTTTTTGCTTAAAACTACTATTTAACTCTAATTTAGTTGTAAACTGGAATTTGAGATCAACTAGAAAGCTCTCTTTATTAGTAATATCCACTCATAAGTTTTATGTTTTACTCTCTATTAATTTGCTTTCTTTCTGACAAAAGTTAGGTAATTAACTGATTTTGATAAATCAATAGGAAATCCAATAGTGGATTATTTATTGACTTATGATCAAAACCATAAATAGGGTAAAGCGGAGCATATCGGGACAGTGGGACATAACGGGACAGTTATTCCTAAAGCCTTATATCTCAGCTAAAAAATATTTCTTTTCAAAAAATACTTTTGGAAAAACATTTCAAATTATTGTGCTTCATTATTGTAATAAAAAAATTTATTTTAGAAATACCAAAATCCATTAAAAGTACCAAAATGGATAAGTAAGTTTGCGAAAAACAAATTTTGCGTATTTTCTTAAGCGATACAACGACAAAAGATTTATTTTGAATTTATAAAAAGTTTTTTTTTTCAGACAGTATTTTTTTATCCTCTTTTAGAATCTGGTTTTTAGAAAATATCTGGAATTAAACTTTTTGAATAGTATTAAACTCAGTAAATTGACTTTTGTGAGGCATATCGGGACAACAAGTTATTTATTAAAATGTCTAAGATCGTTCTGATTGATGTCACTGGCAATATACAACTTTTTTCTTTATTTTTTTTAAACTATTGTTTTATTTGTGAATGTTACTATTTCAAACATCTAAAAAAAAAAAAAAAGAAACGCTTATTGTGGAAGATGTAAGTTATGTTAATTAAAGCCGGAGGAAGAAAAATAAAAAAACGTGTTTTCCAAAAATTACAGTTTACATTTCATTAATTAATCTTAAAACAATCACTCTTGTACAAAAAGTTGAAACATGATTTACAAATGATGAGAATAATAACGAATGTTTTTAGATTGCAAGATATAAAATTTGGCATTACGCTGACCATATTTTTTTATGTTTCAGGCAATATCATTTCATAGTAAACAAAACTCGCATCTTTTATGAGCGTTGTCGTGAATGAATCGGGAGTTATAAAATAAATTAATGACGGAACATCATCTTTTATTACATTGTTCAAATAGCAGAGCTTCAAGACGATTGAGACGCAAAAAGATTTACAATTAACCGCACTTGCACATTTGCTCAAGCAATCTTCAACAGATGGCGATTCATATTTTCCGATTATGCCATATTCTATATAAAAACCAGTTGAAGAAGCAACAGCTCCTGGTATGTATCCTTTCACTAAAATAAATTGAACATATTATAAAAAATTATTTATGTAATAAATTTACTTAAATACTGAAACTTTTAAATGTAAGCAAGTGACGGGTTTAGGAGAAACGTGGGAAGGGAGCATTTCTTCACCGTTGAGTATGTTCTAGAACTTGTTAAAAATAAACTTTAAATACAATATTTCTAGAGTAAACACAAGTTATGTGCATTAAAAAGTATTAAAATAATATCCAACACTGCAAAGTTTAAAGTTACTTTTTGGTATCTAATTTTATTAACTTTAAATTGAATTCAAAATTTGTGTATGTTCACTTGTTTTTCAGAAATTATGACTATAAAAAGTTTCAGAGCAATGTTAATGTTCATAAATTCTATATGAGAAGTTATTTTTACATAAATTTCCCGAGTTAAACCGATTTTAAAGGGTGGAAATGGTTCCAATACCATACAGATCAAACTATATTTTGCCTTGTTTCTCTGACAGTCTAAACTTTATATTACGAGTTTTTATTGATCTATCTTAAGCTTTTGGTACCAAAAACCTTAACAGACAGCTAAGATAAAGTAAACTTAAAAATTATGGTATTAGAAACAAAAATTTTTTTTTGCTTTAATGAGAGAAAAACATTAAAAGATTAATAGGTATTAAGTGTTTAACTGTTTCTTTTGAATCATAGCATATCCCAGTAAAAAAAAAAAAAATTCTTTTCCCACATGAATTCCATGTGGGTTCCGGGTAGGATTCATGGGATCCCACATGAAACCCATGTGGGTTAAGCATTTTTTTTGTGAGGCTCGTCAGGGCTCTATTTTAGGGCTCTTCTTGCACTTACTGTACAAATTACAAATGTATTTATCAATAAATCTTATAAATACTATTTATATATTTGTCAAAATCTTAGTTGCAAATGAAAATCTTTTGATTTATTTTGGATTTGATTTATTTTGGATTAAAATTTACAATGGCATTTTCATATAAACAGTCTGGAAAAATATTGAAATGATTTATAGAGCTATTTTTTAATTTCAAATCACAAAAAAAGTTTATACTTTGCTTTCCTTTATTGTTACTTATCGTACTGTGTTGTTACTTATTGTAGCATTCCGTGTGCAATTATTTCATCAGGGTAAAAATCTCCAAAACTTGCCATGTGGAAAAAAAATTCTGTATTATAAGTGGCAAGTAATTTAATAAGGATTATCTTTCATATTTGGAGAAAACATATTTATAACTGATTGAAAAACGTTTTCAATCAGTTGGAAGTGGAATTGCATTTAAACAGGAAGTTCACGCCTGTTTCGGAAGTCGGAAGTGCATTTAAACAGAAAGTTCACGCCTTCTTCTTTACCGTGACGCAAAATATGTCCAGAGCTCGTTTCGAACCCGAACCTCCTGCTTTTAAAGCAAGCGCTCTAACCACTGCGCCACGGCCGCATTCTTCTTCTTCCTTGAGAAATATTCTATTTTCAATTGTTTTTACAATAGTTAAAATATTTCTAGCAAAGTCCTCACTTAGCACTCAAGAGCTTGAGGTTTCAAAGGTCTGGAAATTTAAAGCTAAAATTAGGATTCTATAATATACCACAATTGTATTATATCAAATTATATAACACAAAAAATCTTGATTGGCATATTACATTTTAAATTAATTTAAAAGATTGCACGTCGTCCGCAGAAGTTCCCTTAAACAATTTAATTGTTTGTGTTCTAGACCAGATATTTTAAGAAATATCTTGATTGTTTAAACTAATAACCGATTGATGGCAATTTCTTGAAAGGTACCTTAACTTTGAGCTCCTACCCAAACTCGAGCCTTTAGTTGATGTATATACACTCATTGCGCGTACCCCTGTCAATGTGGGCTTCTTATAAGGAAGTAACACCTCTCAAATGTGATAACAATTATTGATAGGTGTTATAACAACAACACCTCTCAATAATCAGCTATTTAATCATGCTGAACTAATTAAAAATACACTGCCTAGCAAAAGTTTCTGGTCGCTTTAAATTTTAATTGTTTTTTACTTATATTATAAGTAAAAAGCTATTAAAATTAAAACTATCAAAATATTTTATAAACAATTTTAATAAATTAATATTAATTTATCAAATTTTAAAATTGTTTATAAAATATGTTGAAATAAATAATGCAAATTATATTATTTTTTCTTTATTTTGTATCACTATAAAGTTTCTTAAACATACTTGATCGTTTATAATTTTTAAAGTTATTAAATTTCATCTTTTTTTTTCACTAGTAATGTAATCAATTGAATTAATAAATAGGTTTTGTAAGTATTTATTAACGATAAATTAAACTTAATATTGTTATCATTGAGTTCATTTGCAAGTAATATAATAAATTGAATAATTAAATTAGTTTAGTAAGTATTTTTAATGATAAATTAAATTCAATATTACTTATTAATTTATAATTTATAAGTAAACATTTTGATTATTTTTAGACATTAAAGAGTTATCAAATAAAATGCCAAAGAAATCTAATTTATCACTTGAAACACCTTCACTTTACACCTTCATACTTGCACCTTTATTTTATACCTTCACAATTGTACCTTCACTATACACCTTCACACTTGCGCTTTCACTTTACACCTTCTACAATTGTCACTTTAGCAAATGATGGTTGTTCAGCCGAATATATGTTCAAAAAACTGTTAAAAATACCGCAATCAACTGTGAGTAGTATTTTTCTTCGTTTTGAATTTACTGCTACAAATAAAGGTAAGAAAAGAAGTGAGTAGCCTTGCAAAGCATCCAAGGCTGACGACAAGTCAATTAAACTCTCATGTAAATAAAATAGAGGTAAACAGCTCAAGAAATGACATCTAATTTTATAATAAAATTTGGAAAAGATTGTATGATGTTGTTTGAAATGTGTTGGCTTGAATAATATAATACCTATTTGAAAACCTCTTTTAAAAGCAATTAATAAAAAATAAGTTTTAATGGGCTCTAGTTCATAAAAATTGAACAGAAATAGACTGGCAAAATGAATCTAATTCGCACTTATGCCAATCTTTGCAAATTCTTTTGGCGCATCTATGCCAATTCGCACTTATGCCAGTTTTTGTGACTGTTTCGCACTTATGCTAATCCGCACTTATGCAAGTTTGCATTTATGCAAGTTCGCACTTATGCAAATTTGCTGTTATAAAATTTGTACTTACTCAGCCACCCCTCCTCGACATAGTATACAGTGGCTGATTAAGACGTTTCAGGTCCTGGGGCAATTTTAAAGCAGAAGACGCTTTCCATGTCATTAATTAAAGATTTTATTTTCAGAATTTCTTTAAAGAATATCTCTTTTTAGGGAGGTTGGGGACCCCAATAAAAAAAGATACTTTCGGCTCCTGTGAAGGGGGCTATACCTTGGGCCTCACGGGGTCCTTTCCCTACCCCCTACCTTAATCAAGTACTGCAACATATAAGTAAATTTATCATTTAATTTCTAAATTTATAAAAATTTAAAAGTTGTTCTTTTTCTTTTCTTCATTTCATAATTTATCTTTATAAATTGTTTATGTGTGTGCTTATAAAATGAATGTTTAATGTGTGTTTTTTTTAAAAAGTTGCAATACTTTTCGCCAACATTGTATATATATATATATATATATATATATATATATATATATATATATATATATATATATATATATATATATATATATATATATATATATATATATATATATATAAAGGGGAAAGCGGGGCAACATGGCGAATGGGGCAAGATGGGTTTTGATATAACAACTCAAAAAAAAATTTTAAAATTGGGTGAAAACGAAACTGTATTTGCATCTTGTATTTTAAAACACCAATTGGTTTTTTGAAATATTATTAACGCCATTTTATACAAATAAGTTTACTTTTTGCACTTAAAAAGAAATAAAATTTTATAAAATGAGAGGTAAAAATTGCATAATAAGTCATCTTGCCCCGGTCACGTGACCAGATGACAAATTTATGAACTTTTTATTTTAATATTTATTTCAAATTGTTATATTTGCAAACTGAAAATTTATGCAGGCAATGAAAGAACTTAATAGCATAAACATACTGAGAAAGTATTATGGCTTCACGACTTATAGTTTTTCAATAACTCAAGGCTTTCAAAGCGTTCGCCATGTTGCCCCGCTTTCCCCTATATATACATATATATATATATATATATATATATAAATATATATAAATATATATATATATATATATATATATATATATATATATATATATATATATATATATATATATATATATATATGTATATATATATATATATATATATATATATATATATATATATATATATATATATATATATATATATATATATATATATATATATATATATATATATATATATATATTAGGGTATCCCTTATTTTTCAAAGTTTTTATTTCCAAACGCTTAGGTTTTAGTTTTGTTTATTTGCTTTAATTTTTACCTTAATTGGAGCACAATAACCCGTGCCAACTTGCATCATACAAGTTACACAATAGTTGCGCTTACTCGCGTCATTTGTTAAAAGGGTAAATATGCTCAAAGTGGTTTTTACAATGATAAATAATTAATAAATGAAAATAGATAATTATTATCTTGATAATTCAGTACCAATTGATAATAGTAAATAGATATTAATTATCTTCTTACAATAATTGTAATTAGTTAGTTATTATCAATTTTGCGACATTGTATAAACCGCCTGACGCAAATCCGCAAATACGCATACGTATTGTTTTATTTTTAAGAAATGGCAGTAAGTTCGAAAGTAATAAAATCTTTTTTATCATAGTTGGTGAAGTGATTTATCAAATACCAGGCGCAAAGTTCACGAGAGAGAATTTTTACGTTATTTGGTCATTAAAAGAAAATATCCTGCTTTATTACGTTATTATTACGTTACTTCACCAGAGAGAATTTTTACGTTATTTGGTTATTAAAAGAAAATATCCTGCTTTATCTGTAATTTTATATTCTTTTAATAAATATCTTATAAAATATAAATGTTTCAATTGATTTAGCTGCATAAATCTTTAGAGATCTGTTGGCATGCGTTAATTTAATCGTACGAGGATAAAAATTTTTATGCGGCCGTGGCGCAGTGGTTAGAGCGCTTGCTTTATAAGCAGGAGATCGAGGTTCAAAACGAGCTTTGGACATATTTCGCGTCACGGTATGGAAGGAGGCGTGAACTTCCTGGTTAAATGCACTTCCGCGGTGCTCTGTGACAAGACAGTAAGGACTTCTTGGGGCACCTAAATAACAACAACAACAACAACAACAACAACAACAACAACAACAACAACAACAACAACAAAAGTTACCGTCTAACCGTCAAGCTCTAGCAGTACTTTTTTTTAACTTTCGCGCGTGTTAAAAAAAGAGTTAAAATCAAGAGTGTATTTATTTTGGGAAAAAGCTAGAATCCCTACCAGAACTATACCTAGTTGTGTAAAAAAACTTCTTCCCCATGTTTGGAGTTGGAAGAAAACAAAATATTTTCAAGCACCGTGAGGAGAAATTTCGAAACAATATAGATAATTTATTTGATATACCATATGCTGATGCTTTGGAACGGATAAAAATACATAAACACAGAGAACCAAGGCGCCCAGGATTCTTTTTCGGTTAATTTTTTATAGACAAAAAATTAGCCGAAAAAAAGAAAGGACAAGACAGAGAAAATTAAAAGAAGAAAAAGAAAAGACATTAGGAAATGTATTTTTAGTGAGTTTTTTGTTATTTCTTACTACACAAGATTTTATACAAACGCAAGAATATCACGATCACACACCAGCACCGATGAAAACCCTGAGGAACCGTTACTGTCAACCTCTCAAATAGTAAGTTTTGAAATTATAAAAAAAGAAGAAGGATGAATTTTATCACATTTTAGGCAAAAAAGATTATAATACAAGACCATTAAAAGAAGCTAGTGTATTTTTGAAACAGAAACTAGACAGGGAATTACTGCTTTTTGCTTGCCGCCATTGCGTGTACGAACTGGTTTTAAAATGTGTATTTAAAACAAAAATCCACAAAGCCACAAGTAGCTATGATATCCTAATGTTAAAAAAGTTTAGAGACAACTGGAAAACTATTAATTGGCTGCTATTGAAACATACACTGATATTGTCAAGCAATATTTAGTAATACAACATTTGAAGAATTGTTGACATTTTATAATCAAGCAAAACTGCAAAAAACTATTGTACGTGATGATTACCGGCAATTAATTGTTAATTTCTTAGAAGTTAATAATTAGAAGTTATTAACTTCTAAGAAATTAACAAGTAATTCCCGTATAAAGTCAAACCTCCTGGAGCAATACATTAGGCGTGGGGGATAGCTAGAGCTATTTACTCTTTAAGGATATGTTTCTTGCAATCCCAGATCAAAATTAGCACCAAAGATAAACGAGCACTTGGATTTTGTGTCTGTCAAAATCATAAATTTATTTTCTTGATTTAAAAATAATAAGAACTTTCTCCAGAGACCCGTTTCAACGTGGAATGAAGATGTTGTCTATATAGTGGCAAAAATATTTTTTTTTCCTTAAGTGCGGTTAATGATGCAGCTAAAAGAGCAGTAGTAAAACTTAATAAAGATTTTCATTGTTTGATCACTGCAAATGAAGAACTGCTAAAGAAAAAGCAATTTTTCCTACGCTGTGTGAAATCTGTATCTAGACTGTAAAAAAAAGACCCTTGAAGAAAAATATCCTGTTTTATCTGTAATTATATATTCTTTTAATAAACATTTCATAGCATAAAAGTGTTTCAATTGATTTAGCTACATAACGAGAATGGTTAAAAACAGCAACTTTCAAAATCTTCAGAATTCTGTTAACATCCGTTAATTTTGTCGTGGGAAGATAAAACTTTGAATTAAAGTCTATTATATTGGTTACTTCACATTTATTTTTTTTTAGAAATTTGTCACGAAAAAAAAAGTTACAAAAGTTACGTCGGAATTGGATATTTTTTTAACCTATAAAAGTGCAACGTAAAGTTGACGTGTAAAGTTGACGTGTAAAGTAACGTTAAAAAAATCTATATTTGAGACATTTTAATTGCGTCTCATATCTATATTTTGTTACGCTATTTGGTCATTAAAAGAAAATATCCTGTTTTATCTGTAATTTTATATTCTTTTAATAAATATCTTATAAAATGTAAATGTTTCAATTGACTTAGCTGCATAAATCGTCAGAGATCTGTTGGCATGCGTTAATGTTGTCGCACGAGGATAAAATTTTATATATATATATATATATATATATATATATATATATATATATATATATATATATATATATATATATATAATATATATATATATACAATATATATATTACATATATATATATATATATATATATATATATATATATATATATATACATACATATATATATATATACATATATATATACATATATATATATACATTATATATATATTTATATATATATAATGTATTTTATATATATATATATATATATATATATATATATATATATATATATATATATATATATATATATATATATATATATATGCATATATACATGTTTCACTAGTCATCTTCAGTTGAATTTAAATTTTTTATTTTTTAAATTTGTTTAAATACCTATATAGGTGATTTTTACAATAAAAATAAAAAATGTAATTATCTATGTACAAACTATTAATTTAATTACAAAAATACGACAAAATCTATAAGAATAACAAGTCATACTAAAAGAACGAATAGGAAGTGACGAAAAAATAGATTAATAAAAATTTTCTATGTAAAATTTTTATTAACCTATTTTTCGTCTCTCGAAGATGACTAGTGATAGTCGAAACATGTATTGGTTAAAATTAATGAAATGGTTTTTTTAATTAAAAAGTTTTTCTTGTTTATTAAAAAATATATATATATATATATATATATATATATATATATATATATATATATATATATATATATATATATATATATATATATATATATATATATATATATAGCTCAAAAAATATGCAACACATTTGTTGATTAACTTTAACTACGTACCTATGTGAAAATGTAAAAGCAGTATCAAAAACAGACCACAATATTCGGCCATCATACAAAATTAACTTTTAATCAACTTATTCAAACAACAGATGCTTCCTACAACTATGTTTATTTTTAAATCGTTTTCTTTACTTTTTTTTTTTTTTAATGGAATAAATCCGACAAGTTGAAAATATTTTTTGTTTTTAAACATGTCTCTATGAGTTTAGACTTTTTTGAAACGCTGAATTATACATTACATAAAGAATTAGACAAATTTGTTTTGTAAAAGAGTAATAGATAAATAAGTAATAAAGATTGTAACTGACCAATAAAAAAATTGTAAATTTTATAATAGTCAAATTGAGTTTTAACATAACATAATTAAATATTAATTTTTAAATTGGTTAATAAAAAAGAGCGTTGTTATGTGGTACAAACTAACGAACCATCGTAAAATATTCATGATGGATCTAATGTAAATAAATAAGAGTTTATTATTTTAGAAACCATATTGTTACTCGTTGGCGTAAACTTATATTATATTATATATACATACATATATATATATATATATATATATATATATATATATATATATATATATATATATATATATATATATATATATATATATATATATATATATATATATATATATATATATATATATATATATATATATATATATATATATATATATATATATATATATATATATATATATATATATATATATATATATGTATGTATATATAATATAATATAAGCAGTACTCGAAGTGGAGAAAAAAAAGTAACGGAATGGTGTTCTGTAAATTAAAAATTCTATCCCGCCTAATTAATTTAATTATCCATTTTCAATAAATTTATTTATCACAATTAGAAGCTAGGATTTAAAGCAATTTGCATACTATTATAGCTTTCCTAAAGAACAATTACAACAAAAATATTTTTATAATTATTTAGGCTACCTGAAAAAATTAAATAACTCCTGTTTTATTGTATTAATAAGAAAAATAACTTAATCATAATAAAGTAAAAAAAGAAATAATGGAAATTACATTGAAAATATCGAGAAATTAATTACAAACAAACTCGAAGAACAAAAAATGAGTATTTTAAAACAAACGGATGGCCTGTTGAAAGATCAAAAAAATTTTACTGTTATAAATAGTCCAAATTTAAAAATACTCACTAATCGATTAGATAAAATTGAAAAAGAAGTAGACACTAACAAATCAAAAGTCTTGAGCATTGAAAACAACGATTTTAAAGAAAGTCTTAACTTTCAAAGAATAAGCATCAAGGAAAAATTAAATCACGAAGATTCATGAAAAAGAAATGAACAATTTAAATAAAAAGACATTAGATTTGCACAACCGGTCTCGGAGGAATAATTTAAGAATAGACGGTAATATGAAAAACCAAATGAAAATTGGGCTGAGTGCGAAAATATAGTAAAAGAAATGTTCAAAAAACAACTTAAAATTAACAATAATATTATTATTGAAAAAGCTCATAGAGTAGGCCAACCTAAAGAAGATAAGAAACCAAGAACTATTATTCAAAAGTTATTAATTTTTCAAGACAAAACAAAAATACTTAAGGTGGTTCCTATGTAATAAAAAAAAGTTATTTTCTATTCATTAAACATTAATTTTCTCAAAAGTAGGTACAGAATGTGTAAAAAAAATATATATTTTTGAACTCCAAAAATATATAGATGATCACATAGGGGCCTATAATAGTCAAAATAACCCCTAAAAATAGAGTTTACTAGAAACACAATTACTTATGAGTAAAAGCTCATTTTACTTTTAAACTTGGTATACTTGTGCGTGTTACCTGTATTTAGTGCGTGAGTTTTTTTTATTAAAAGATCCTGTTTCTACTAAAAGTTATGCTTCAAAACAACTGTATTTTTAAAAAATCTGCTACTAGGCCTCTGATCTTAGTTCCCTAACCACAACTTACAAATAATAAATTTATTTGAAAAAAACTCAGGCAATAGCAGTACACTTGATAAATAAGCCCTAAAAATTTCAAGTAGTTATCACTATTAATTAAAAAGTTATGATGTTTTTCGTGAGACAATTTTCTTGAAAAACGGTATCGTAGAAAATCAAAAAACAAGAGGAAAAATTTGTTTTTAAAACTAAAATCCTCCTTTTAAATAAGTTTCTCCTCCCTCTTTATGTAAGTCTTTATCCAATAAGCCCTTCTTGATGGCTTTTAGTTTTCTTCTTTCGTCTTCTCTGATGTTTTGATAATAAAATTTTGGATGCTGCGTTGGCTCATTTTTTCGGATATAATATTAAAACAGACACTGGTCTGTATTCCAAGTTTTTCATACACTTTAACAAGTCCAAATGGACCTTCATTGAATTGAAGAATAGCACTATATACACCTAACTGTAGAATTGATCTTTCTACAAAGATTTGCTTAGGACATTTCATCCAGATAAGATTATTCAGGGACTCATTAGCATTTTGAGTTTCCCCGTGGATGCACTTGCGAAGAAGGTCATCATTTGAAAGATCTTGGAAAATCTTTGACAAAGTAGGAAACATCCACTCTGGTAAACTAATCCTCTCTTTGTGTTTTTTAAGTTTATTTTTCTTATAACTACACCACGATTCTTCTCCATGTGGACAAAACATGTGGCGCTTATCTAAGTTAGAAAAGTTGGTGCAATGATGAAGGATAGCACCTATCCACTTTTTCATTGTGTAAATTTTTTCATCGTTAGAACAATTTAATTTTAGACTTCTTCGGATGGCAATACCATAATAACTTGTTATTGAATTAATGGAGTTGTTAGTCAATTTTCCTTTTCCACCAAATGGTGTAGAGGTATTATTATATTCTTGTATTAGTGTCCTAAGTCGAGAACCTATTCTTTTGTTTACATGTCCAATACATTCAAGTTTAACAGGTGTTAAACTTGAAGGTATTGGACATGTAATACCAAACTGCGCTTCGTAGGGTTTGGAGTTAACAACTTCTTTGTAAGACGCTGTGTCTCCATCTCCAAGAGTTCTGTGTCTCCATCTCCAAGATACTCATTATAAACTAGTTTATTTTGACTTACAAATTGCTGAAATATATCAATAGCACCTGAGGCTTCCATTGCTCCTGATGACTTACGATGGTTAATTCTACAATTATGTGCAACTTTCCAATTTGCGTATTCTGTTGTCCCTTTTTTTCTACTCCATATTATACACTGTCCACAATGTTTGGATAAAACAATAACATCTAAACACTTTCCTTTGCTTACTGCTGTCACTACACCATTCAACGAAGAGTGTCCTCTTTTTTGCCAAGTTCCATCAATCGATACACGATAAGAATGTATACCTGGGACAATTTCTTCCATTTTTACTTCATTTGTAGCATTTTGCATACTTTCTATTGCAGAATTTTTATATGCAGAAAATAACTTATTATTAAAATTTCTAAAGGCAGTATTAGATATTGAGTGCATGTTCATACACCGTGCAAATGTTTTAATTGATTCATGCCCTTTACCAATTTCTCAAAATGCCATAGCCAATCGAATATTAATTTCACTCGGCTTACAACCATACATTTTTTCAGAAGCACTAAAAGATGAAGTATACTTGTGACTTTTATTATTACATTTTTTACAAAAGTAAACAATTTTATGAGAAAATCCCTTTCTATCATCCAAATTATTAGATATTGTGACATTGGCTTCCCCACATTCTTGACACTTGTTTCCAACTGCTATCATTTCCATGAGTATTTTAAAATTTATAAATAAAAAATAATCATCAATACTTCCAGAATGTTTAGCTGGTTTAATGGTAAACTCTTTTTTGGTGATATTTTCAATATTTACATTTTTTTTATTTCCATTGATATCGTATTTATCATTTACAATATGTACAGATTTTCTACAACCACGACCACCAACACCTTTTCTTGATGACTTTCTTTTGCTATTTCGAAGGTTAGCCATATTAAATCTTTATTATTTTACTAGAATCTAACTAAAATGTTAAATAATTTCAACAAACACATTAGAAAACAGTAAAAAGTAAAAAAATTATTATAAAAAAGCCTGCCTGCTGTTTGCACTCTGCAACAGCTTATAATGATTAAATATTTAACAACTTGGACGTACAAGGCAACATTAGAATAGCAAAAGAGATGTACTACTTTAAGTTTTAAAGTTCATTTAAGATAATAACTAAAAAAATAAAACGGTTGCTATGGCCGTTACTAGGCGCTAAAATTATACCTACCTCTATAAAATTGTAAATATTGTAAAAAGCATAAACAAACTTAAAAAAAAAGTTATACCACGAGAAAGAGCGTTAAATTTTACACTAGAATATCTAATTTGCCAAAAAATCAATTTTTGAAAAAATTTTGACTTTTGATTATGTAGGATTTTGATTTTGATTACCTTGACGCTACAAAAAACTTGCGAGAAACAGGGATTTTTGCTAATGAGGATTTCGCTAAAGAAACGATCGAAAGCTAAAAAAAGTTAAGGGAAGAGGTCAAAAAGCTGCGACTTGAAGGTAATGTACAGTTATAAAATATGATAAAATTTTTTCTAGAGAATTTCGGAAGTAAATGCGTTCGTTCTTAAAAAAATAACTTCTTTTCAATATATTTGTTATAACTAATCATGGCTTTTATATGTGACTTTGAAACTCTTGCCTTTAATTTTCTTGAAACGAAACTTTTTACATTACACAAAAACTCCAACCCAGATATTAATTATTTTTAAAAATTCTTCAAAAATTAAATGTTCTTACTATTTAATTTTAAGAACATTCGATTTTCGGCTGCCATAAATATCGAACTAAGGTTGCCATAAATGTTTAACTACCGACCGGGACAACCCTCTCCCCTCCCGCCTCTCCTCTGCCCCCACTCTTCTGCCCCTTTGCCTACCCGCCAAGCATAACCTAACTACCTTCTTATCAAAACATTTGATTAAAAACATTCTTCACTCACCTTTACTTTCTCCTGACTTCATTATCGCTCTACTTTGTCCAATCATATTTTTCAGATGTTTTGGTTTTTCGTAGTAACTCATTTTCCTCTTTTACATAGTTGTAGAATTCACAACATGACATTTTAAAATTCATAATACATTGAATTATACATATCACTGTGTCGATAGAAAACGAATTACGCTCATACGTCCGTTGAGTTTAAATTAATAAGAACATGCGCA